GTTACACCCATTGTACACAAAACGGCATGTATAAAACCAGCACGGAAGCGCCGAGAAACACGTACATGAACAGTATCCGCAGCGGTAACGGGAAAGACACGGAGTTACATCAGACCACGTCGGCTCATGTCTGTGGGTCACGGTGGGACTGGTTAAGACATACTAACAATTAGAGACAACTTCAGCTATGGAAAATCATTAGTGTCGCAGTCTGTTAAATAGGTCAGACCCAGGCGGGTAGTTTTATCCCTCCCTTTTGGATAAGTTGGTCCATGGTTAGCTCATGGGTTTCCCTTCTACCCATCCACCTGGCATCGCTGGGGCTGGCCCCGAGCAGTCCTCGCCCTGACCTCCGTGCACCAGGGCGGCTTCCCCACGGCAAGGGGTAGGGAGGGCTGAGCTCAGCAGCCAGAGGCCAGCCAGCCAAAATCTGGTCCCCACTGAAGTCACCGGGCACCTCCCCAGGGAGCAGGGAGACATGGGGATCCCCTGTACTGGGACAAACTGGCAGAGATGTAAGAGGAGTCCCCCGGGAGAGCCTGCGGCTCGGCTGCCTCGGCCGCGGGGATGTACCTTGCCATGGGAGAAGACAAGGGTGGTGGCATGAGGTCCTTAGGGGTTCCTTGTCTGACAGTTCGGGGGATGTTGGGGTGTCTCTCTAGCTGGCCGGGTGTATGTGGAGCTGTGCCTGCCACGAGCGTTGGCCACGGGGAGGAGGGGACAGGGCGGACGGGGTCTGTGTCCCATCCCAAACTCACACTTTCCATTCCCTCCAGCGCTGAGCTCCCTCTGACCAAACACAGCATCAAACTTGGGGTGGGGGGACACAAGCTGGTTGACATGAGCGGGTGTCCCCAAAGGGAACCAGGATGAACCACTCAGGGTGCAATGCTACCCCAGGGACACCCAGTCCCCCTCCTTCAGCCTTCCTCTGCTGCTGGCAGGGGGCACAAAGACTTTCCCACTGGGGAGAGGGGTCCGAGCGCAGCCCTGACACTAACGCCGAGGCAGGGGCTGAGCTGGGGGCCAGACCCCATCTCGGTGACAGCTCCAAGCTGAGCTCAGCTGGCTGGCACAGGGGCAGCCGCCATGGCACGGGCATCAGCAGGGAGCAGAGCCAGCAGGAGCAGCCTGGCAGCACCCCTGGGCAACGTGATGGGGCTGGGAGATCCCCCCCAGGGAAAAGGAGAGACTGGCCGGTCCCCAGCACATCCCAGTGCCCTGCCCTGAGCCCCAAGCTTCTCGGCCATGAATTTCGGGGGGATCACTTCGCAAGTCAGTCCCTACCTGCCACCGCCAAGGAGAGCAAAGCCGAGCCCAAGCACCCTTATCTCAACCCAAGCATGTCAAGAGGTGAAATGTCTCTTGCCCCAGCGAGCGGGGCTTGAAGGGAAGGGGGATACAGGGGTCCCCAGCTGGCTACAGTGGGTTCGGGGGGGCAACAGCACTGGCAGTAACAGGGAGCAGCTGTGCAGGCGTGTGCGTTGGAGAGACGTGCTGAGCCAGGACCCAGCCTCCTTTCTGCTCTTCCACACGGCATTTATCAGCCCTGTCACTCTGGAATGGTATTTTTTCCTCTTTCTGCTCATTTTCATCTCTCCCCAGATGAGAATTTTCCCCGATTTAAGCAATGCCTGGTCTGCTGCGGGAAGCGAAGAGGGGGCGTTCTCTTTATCTCCATCTCTTCCCCTCACAAGCTCTGCCCTGGCCACCCTCCCCACTTCATTTTACTTCCTACAGAGCTGATAAAAATAAACATGTTTTTGTTTGCATATATTCGACTGGCCTGCCATTTGGCTGATGGGGGGAGCTCCTCAAGGGACAGCAGCTGCACGCATCTGGATTTGCTTTAGAAAAACGTGCCTGGAAAAAAAAACCCCAAGCCCAGCACACACACGTGTGGATGCATGAGGCTGTGGGTCAGTTTTTTTCTTGGGATGCAAAAAAATAAAAAAAAGAAGAAACCAAACGCCACTCAAAGGTGAGGTGGGGGAACCTCACTGCTGCTCCCCCAAAGCCAAGGCACAGGGGAGGGTCAGGCATGAACACGAGGGAGAGGAAGGGGAAAATAAAAATTCCCACCTGGAGACTATTAAACTCAAAGGTCAATGTGTGAACTTTGTCTAAAGGTGAAACATCCCTGCACGGAAACATCCCTGGCCCAGCATCCGCAGAGCACGGGGAGCACACGAACCCATTGAAAATCTGCACCATTGGCCCCGAGGTTTGGCAGAAATTGGTGGAGCTGTGCTAGTGACAGTCCCATGATGCACCCAAAAAAAAAAAAAAGATAAAAATATCTAACAGTCTTGCTCCAAGCAATCACTCTCCAGTCTTATACTGGAGCAAAGTCAATGACTAAAGAGGACTTTTCCCATCAGCACGAGCCCAATCCCAGCACTAGCCAGCAGCTGGTGTTTGGAAGATGCCTCCACCACCTGTGCAAGGGACAAGCAGCTCCTGTGACACTGGGACCTGAGCCGGAGGCATCAGCTGCTGGCATCTTCCCTGGTGCAGGCTGGTGGGCTGAATTTTGGGGGTGCTGACCCTAGAGGACAGCCTACCCCACAACCAAAGCAGCATCACTTGTCACCCTGTGCCTGTCCCTGCCTTCATAAACCCTTGGGTCTTGCATGCTGCCGTGTCCGCCCAGGACGTGCCGGGAGGCTGGTTCCTGGCTCCATCACTCCTCCCCACCTGTTTTATTGTAGGACATGGAGGGGGGAAGAACTGCAAGGCCAGAGAGAGAGGCTGTAGTGGCATTCAGAGTCCTGGGGCTGTTCTGGGACTAACCCTGGTCCCAGGGCTCTGCAGGAAGGTGAAGGGGCTCTGGGGAATGCAGTCAAGAGGTTGAGAGCCCTCCCCAGACCCCCCTTTGCCCAGAGCCAGGGCACTGGGTGACAGCACAAACTCAGGGCTGCATCTAACCCAGCCCCTAAGAGCAGAAGAGCTCTTCCCCCACATGTCTCCCCAGGCACGGGCTGTGCCAGCACCTCAGCACGAGCAATGGAAGGGACAGGGCTGGGGGCCAGGGGTTTACTCCTCCATACAGGATCCCACAGATCCGAGCAGAAACTTGCTGTTAACAGCTGGCGGAGGAAAGGGGAAAACCCCTGTTTTCCCATCCTTTCTGGGAGCAGGCACCCAGTGCTGGCCACTCCTCCAGCAGTGCCAGGGCTGGGGGGCAGAGGAGCCCCTCGGCATGGAAGCAGAACACCAGAAACAGGAAAAAACCTCTTCCCTGGGGATGACTGAAAGCATAGATGAGCTGGCTGAGGGTGAGCAAAGCAGGAGTTTCTGGCTGGCTGCTCCAGAGGGGGGTCAGCCCCTGGGAGGGTTACTGCTGCCGCCACCAGCAGTGTCCCCACAGCAAGGGGAATGTCCCCGGAGCACCCATGGGGATCCCAGCCAGGGAATGTGGGCTCGCTGCCTGTCAAGCCAACATCCAAGAGAGGAGCTGGCCTCCGGAAAGCTGCCAGCGTCCGAGGGCAGTAGTGGAGCGAGGCCAGAGGAAATCTCTGAAGGGAACCTCCCTCCCCGTTCCGTAGGTAACATTGCCCTTCACAGCAGGGCTTGAAAAGGAACAGAGTCATCTTGGGAAATACTGGGCAGCAAGGATGCCAAAGCTTCCTAGCACATCTGATGCTTCATCCGCAATCCTTTGGGAATCAGTCCCCAGTGCATCCTGCAAATCCAAGCACATGTCTGCAGGAGGCAACAGGGCTGCTCCACCTCCCTTTTGTGTAACCAAAGGGGAAACTGAGGCAGCAAAACTGCTCACCCACAGCTTCAGGAGTCGGTGTTGGAGGCAGGATGAGCGCTGCGAGCCCTGCAGCCGTGTCTCATACTGGGGGCGGGAGCCCTTTGCCAGGCACGGGTGGGAGCACTGCCGGCCCCCAGGGAGGGATGCAGCTCCTGCGTGGGTCGATTTCTACCAGGCACTTTGAGGAACCCAGCTTCCCCAAGAAGGCTCTACGTAACAATCTACTGATTTTAACAGAGCAGGGACCTTTCTTCACATGCAGGAATCCCTCCTGCTGGATCCACTTCATCTTTCCCCCTCGTGATCGATCACAGCCCGAGCCCCCTTCTCACGGCGCAGGGCAGAGCTGCCCCAGCCCCACATCACCCCACTGCCGGACAGACAGACCCACACCTGCCGGCTCCCAGGGCAATGGCACAACACACGCCACCGCAGCCCATGCTCACAGGTCCCTGCTGCCCACGGGAGCTGAAGGGAGGCAGGTGGGCTCAGCAGCTCCCTGCATCTCGCACAGGGATCCCACCTACGCGCTGTGCTCCCAGCTATAATAGGAGGCAGCCCAAAGGCATCCTCCTGCTTCCCTGCTCTCTCACACTGGGGGATAACGTCTCTCCCCCCAGGAGGGTTTGTAAAACCAGCCCAGGAGAGGGACTGTGGGTGATGGGAGAGGCGAGGGAGCTCTGGCCACAGCCATGAGCCCTGCCAGCTGAGTACGGAAAGTGCAAAGCAAAGCGTTTTTGGTGCCAGCCGGACAGCCGGCAGTTCCCATGAGCATCATGCCCCCAAAAGCAAGGAGCCAGGTTTATCCAGGGGCTTTGTACGGGAAAATGAGGGTCATGTCATTCATCAGCAAACAAGGCTGCACATCACTGCTGAGCTTGCACAAGGGACTTTGAGATGGTGCGAGGGAGGCGCAGGATTTGGGAGGTGGTGATGGACAGGCCGGGACAGTAAGATGGAGCCAACAACCAACGCTCTCCCCTCGCGCTCTGCATCCCCTTCCAGTGTCCCCTGCAACTGCTTCATCCTGACCCACCCACACCCTTCGTGGTTCTATTTTTTTTTTTTTGGCTTTAGTTTGTTTTTAAACCCTGTGAAGATCAAATTGTGACTTGGCAGCTAACAGAGCTGGCCCTAGCGAGCTCCCCAGACTGAGCGAAGATCTTGAGAAGAGACCAAAGTGAAGTCCTGGGGTGAGCGAAGCCCTCCCTGCCCCTCGCCCGGCCCCGCCGGCCGCTCACAGGGTGGCGGTGGGGTACTGCGCCCAGCCCACCTCCTTGTACGCCGCCGTCACGTGGGTGTAGATGAGGGTCCTCATCTTGGTCCAGGCGCCGTGCGCCTCCGGGGTGAAGTCGTTGGCGTATTCTTCAGCAATGACCTCCAGCATGACACCAGTGAGTTTCTGGAGGGAGGCAGACAGCGAGGAGTTAATAACACTCCAGGAAGCAGCTAACAGCAAATTTAGCTTTTTCCTAGAAAAAGCCCCATTTAATCCCACGGCTGAGCTCTGGGAATGACAACCCTCTGCAGGACAGACAGACATTGGGAAGGGCTGTCCATGCTCCAGGGACCAGACAGAGCAACAGAGGAGGCTGAGACCCAGGCACGATGGGGTGCTGCTTGCAGGTTCAAACATCTCCCTAATTCAGGCACCTCAAACTATTTAGTCCCTTCTGTCTTGCTTGATTTCTAAACAAAGGGACATATCGCCACAACACGCCGCAGGGGCTGCGGGCAGGACGCAGGCAGGTGGGTTTCCCTGGGCAGGGCAAGGTTCTCGATGCTCCAGCACTGGTGTTTGGGAATGGTGGCCTGCGTGGGACAGCATCGCACTGGGACACCTCGGCCACGTGGCGATCAGCCCCCACCACCAGCCAACCTCCTCCCAGCAAGGACAGGCAGCACTGGCTCCCCACAGCTCCCTCTCTCCTGCCCTCTTCCTAATTTCTAAAGCATCCCAGAGATTTTTTTTTTTTCTCCCATCTTTTACCTTAAAGTAGATGGGCTCCACTTTGTACTTGAGGGCATGGGCCTTGCCAACCAAGGCCAGAACAGAGGAGACCTTTTCGGAGTCGTTGAGGTTCTCCACCACAGTGTTAATGGCACCCATGACCCGCCGAGCGTGCTTCCGCAGTTGCAAGCTCCTCTCCATCTCCAGCGGGTCTTCCATGTGCTTGAACTGGCTGAAGTACTGCTTGGCCGATGGGAAGTTGACAAAAAACCTTTGAGAAAGAATAGACACAAAATCCCTGAGAAGGATGAGAGCAGGCTGAGAGGTTAAAGAAAGCACAGAGCAGTGGAGATGCTGGAAACCAGCCCCTGCATCCACCACAGCCAGGGCTGGTTTTCTCGCTGAGCTCCCCGGGAGCTGCAGCATCCAGCTGCCTGAGCGCCAGCAGGGTGATGCCTTTCTCCCCAACCTTCCCTCTCTGCTACACGGGCACTGCAGCTGGATATTCACCTACAAAGCAGAGGCGAGACTGAGCTCTTGATCCCCAGAGACTCCCCCCAGGTGTGCCAGATGCTGTATACACACCCCCAGACATCGAAACATCGTGAGCCGTCTCAGAGAGCTGGAGATGAGCAGGAAAACCTCTCTTCATCCCAGCCAGCCTCTCCCTCAGCAGCTGCCTGGCCCCAGGGACTTTATTCCTGCATCACTACCCAAAGCAGCCTCCCCCTGCCCAGGATGCCCCCGACTGTCACACATCAGCCCCCCCAGATCTCAGCCCTGAGCCCATGTCACTGCTCATCTGTGTCACGAGCCATTCTCCCCAGCACGAGGGCACCCCAAGCACCCAGCCTGCCCCTCAGAGGGGCCCAGGACCCTCTTTTCTGCAGGATTAAGTCAACTCCAATGAAATGCAGCTGAAGCAAAAGAAGCAGCGGTTGCAGCTGATGTGCTGCAGGGGGGCTTTGAAGGGCACGAGGGGACAAGGTGCAGGTCTGGGGCCACCAATATCAGCACCGCAGCTGGTCACTCTCAGCAGCTGGGGCTGATGCTCAAGTCATGTTAACCACCCGATTTACACTGGAGAGAACAGCAGCAGCGTTTGTTCCCCCTTTTCACCCAGCTCCCTCCTTCCAACAGAGCTCTCCCTGCCTCTTTCTGGGCCCCCCTTTGCCTGACTGGGAGCAAGCAAAGGACGCTCAGGAGGTGGCAGACAGCTCCCAGGGTTGTCCCCCCATCATCCCTGGCTCCAGACAGACACCCAGCTGCCTCCTCCCCTCTCCCAGGCTGCCATAACCCCCCTCCCCAAGCACCATCCCAAACCCTGTGAACCCATCCCACCCCTTTTTCCCAGCCATCCCTACCTGCCTCCAGAACCAGGTGGGATCCTCTTCCTCAGTCACCACTCCACAAATCATCACAATATTGAAGACCAGGCTGGTTTACCACTTCACTATCCTCCCTTTCCCTCCTCCCTCCCGCCCCTTTGGCTTGCGAGAGCTCCAGGGCATTGCCAAGGAAGCGGCACCTGGAGTGCACTGCCACTTCTGCTGCTTCCCCGAGGCATCTGGGATTCATCAGATGGCCCAAAATAGGTTTTGGAGGTGTGAAGAGTGTGTGGCAGAAAGGCTGGGGGAGGAAGGAAGGTGGAAAGGGGGAGACAAGGTGTTGCTTTTAAAACCCGGGGGGGGTGGGATGGGGATCCGTGACAAAACTCCTCGTGTTATTGTGCAGCCTCCCCTCCGGCAAAGCTCCTTCTGCCACATCTGGTCCCTGGCGGCAGAAATCACTCCCAGCCCCGGCTGCCTCCAGCTCCTGTCACCGCAGAGATGCTCAGTCCGTACCCTCCTGCTCTGGAGCTGGCAGGGAGGTGGCCAGGGATGGACACCGGGCCCCTGGCTGGGGCCACGCAGATAGCACCATTCCCGGGATTCAAGACTTCTGCCCTGAGCATTTCCCAGCAGGAGGACAAATGTTCCTCTCTGTTTTAATGGGACCATTCTTTCCATCTGGCCCCAGCATCCTTCTCCCCCAGGTCCCATCCCTCCCCACCTCTGGGCAAGCTGCTGCAGCCCCTGCCAGCCATCAAGATCAATGCCCCCCAGCTGTTGGCAGCAAACACCCCAAAACCCTGCAGTGCTCGAGGTCGGAGAGAAGGGTTTTGCAATCCCTGTTGGTGGATCTTTTCCTCCTCACCCCCCAGGTGCTGGAAGCAGGGGGTGCTGCTGGCAGCGGGACCTGCTGCCCACAGGCTGCCCCACACAGAGATGGAGCCGTGCCTAAGCCTCTGAACCCCAAACCATCCAAAATCCCCTGAAAAGCTCTATTTGATCTCAGCTCAAGGGTATGACATTGCAAAGACCCAGGGAATGAGCCAAGAAAAATTCCTGGTCTGAGTCAGGCTGTTTCAGCAAGAGGGGACAGACCCCTGCATCGCCAGGAATCACAGCATCCCCCCTGCAAGAGAAGGGCCGAAAGGAGCCACGGGGGCTGATGCCCTCCAGGAGCAGAGGCTTCACGCCTCTCCCACAGCATCACTCCACCTCTCTGCCACTTTCAGCCACCTATGCCAGGAGCAAAGATCAATTCAACCCCCAAAAGTCTCCAACCTGGGTAAGACCAGGCCAGCGAAGTATCCAAATATTTGGTTTCCAACCTTTCCCCACTTCACAGACCTTCAAGACAATGCCCCCATGGGAGCTGAGCCCAGGGGCTTTCCTACGGGACCTGCGAGAGGGACAGCAGCAGTGCCAGAGGGACGGAAAACCAGCAAACCCCTCACTCACGTGTCCAACCCACATGCTGTCTGCTCGCTTTCATGAAACAGGGGAGCCCAAACCATCTTTGCTTCCAGTTGAAAAAGCAAATCTGTGGCTGGCCAGAGACCTGCAGCCGCCTCTCCTGGGCCAGCGCCTCTCTGCGGGGCTGGAGGGAGGCAGGAGCCAGCGGTGGGGACTGCTGGCCTGGAGCAAGGATTTGTCAAACTGAGAAAGAGAGGGAAGGAGGCTCACTCAGTCGTAGTTGTTAATAAACAGAGAAGATTAATTTAACACAAAGGTTAAATATAACCAGAGGAAAGGAGAAAGAAAAAAAAAAGGAAGAAATAAAATAACTCAAACAATAGCAAATTAAAAGAGGTGTCAGTTGGGGTTTTTCCATCTCCAGACCTTTTTTGAGAGTTCAAACATTTCAGGCTCTGGAATTTTGTTGGCTCATTACGTGTGTGTGTTTCGGGCTCTTTTTCTTCATTGGAGTCATTAAAAAGATGATATTTACCATTGCATATCACACAGAATGATGATTGATGGAAACCAGATGCCTGCATACCGATCTCATTAAATTTCTTTTTAAGCGATTCCATTCTGCACCCGCTAATTTGTACTCTGCGAGCTACATCTGGACCCAACCGGCAGGATGTCAGCATTGCTTTTCCTCTCTCTTTTGCCCTTTTAACAACTTTAAGGACACAACCATTCCCAGTAGCAGAGCCAAAGGAAATAATTAAGGTGCAAAACCACTGCAGTTACCGGGAACCTGTTTTCTGTTCAGGAGGAGAGATGCCACTTCTCCTCCCACCTGCCCCATCTTCCTCCCTCTCCCCAGACCCCACAGAGCAAACCCTGCACAGAGGGAATCTTCAAGCCCAGCCATCTCCTTCCTTCCCCACCTAGAAAGAAGCTGCTTGCTTGGTCCTCCTGAGCACCCAAACCCTTGATTTACAGACCTCAGAGCTGCCAGGAGGCTTCAGCTGAACCCCCAACCAGCACTTGTAGACTTACTTTTGCTAAATTTTCCTACCCATGCTTTCACATTTTCTCTCACCTCATCCCTCTACGTGGGAGAAACTCTCTCTGATGCAGCCTGGAGCCTCTCCGTGTCCCTCTTCAAACCTCTCCTTCCACCTCCTTTCTGCTCGGGTGCCCACAAAGCAGCTGATAAGGGGTAGGCAGGTGGTGTGTGGTGCTGCTATTTATTATGCTGAGGGCTGGCTCCCCCCTTCGCCTGCACCTTCCCCCTGCTCCTCCCAGCCACCTGTAGGCTCTCAGCCTATTTTCGGGCTGGGGCAGGGGTGCTGGGTGCTGCCCGTGTTTGCAGCTCCCAGTCCAAGGTGAGAAAGGTCTCAGCCACGTCAATGTCAGCGCCCAGCAAGACAGCAAAAGGCAAATCTAACTGAAGTAGGAAGAGGATGGTGCCTGCTTTCCCCCACAGCACGGCTCTGCCCGTGTCCTCTCTCCGAGGGCTCACAGACTGGGGGAGATGGTGGTGGGCAGCATCTCCAGCTCTGGCGGGAGAGGGCTGGAGGGAAAAGGGACAAGCCCCCGGTCCCCACACTGATGCTAAATTCAACTTCTTCTACAGCTGAGGGAGAAGAGGTGTAGCTGGCCTTCCTCCAGGTGAAGCCTACATCCCGCTGCAAAGCTGCAGGAGCAGACTCCAGCACAACGCCGAGCTGTGCTCAGAGGCTGTATCACCCAGGTGCTGCAGAGCCCCTCGGCAGGGGGACCAGGACCCCCCAGTGAGGCTGGGAGAGGACCCAGCAGCAAAGATGCAGCCAAATACATTTGAGCAGGAGCTGGCAACCCCCAGGGGCATGTCCTGCTTGCTCGTGTGTGCACAACTCGCACCTCCAAGTCCTCGTTGCTGTTGTCTTCCCCTACCACGTATGTGAACTCAGCCCAAAGCCTTTTGGCCGTGTAGATGAACATTTAGGCTGTAAGGACACCTCTTGCTAGATAAATGAATTAACAAGGCCAAAGTGGCTTTACCCCACCCCTCCAGTTTCCTATGGCCTTTGCAATCCCCTTTGCTCAGTGCCTTCATCCACAGCATCATCCTCAGCCCCTCCACATTTGCATCCCTGCCCCTCTCTACTGCCAAGCCC